TTTTCAGCTTTGCAGCCATCTGATCTCAGTCTATAGCACTCAGCTCTGCCTGTGTAGGGAATGCAGCCACAGACAGTATGTAAACGAATAGGCATGGCTGTGCCCCGATACAATTTATTTAAGGACACAGAAATTTGAATTTTGGGACTTCTCACATGTCATGAAACACTACTGTTCTTGTACCTTTTTCCCAACTACTAAAAAATGTAAAAACCATTCTTACCTTCCAGGCCACCTACAAGCAGGTCTACAGGGTGTGGTTTGATGATTCTTATTCCAAAGAAAAAATCCACCAAGCCAGAGTTATAATAAAACAACCCTGAGTTTAACTGATTCATCGGTTTTTCTTTGTTTCACTCCTTGCTGACAGATAAGATTCCTGATGTCAAACGTGAGCTGTGAAAATTAAGGTTGAGATGGGGTTGTCTGCAAGGGAGACGTGCCCCCACTTTGAGCCGCTCCTGGGGAGTTGATCCTGGAATGAAAACACCCACTCAGAGTCCCCTTCCCAGTTTACGCCTTGCCCAAGACTTGTGACTTATAATTGAATCTGCTGTTCAGGAACAAAAGCTTCTAAAAAGTTCCGGGAATGGAAATGCGATCTGTGACAGTCGGGGCTGCCTGTGAGGGCACAGACGGGGCCAAGTCCCTGTACAGTGTCCTTAACAACCAGGGTGGAAGTGCCAGCTAGGCTCCTCGGTTGAAGGATTGGCTTCTCCCTGTAGTCGCCTGAGCAGTGCTGGCAACCCCGGCTTGTCCTAGACCATCAGCTGGACCCCATCCTCCCCCCCCGGGGAAAGCCCTTGAAGTAGAAGGAGCTAGACGAAGGAGACATCTCAGGGCTCCCTCAGTATAGCAAGTTCCCAGGGGCCCTGCGAGGCCAAGCCGTCTCCCAGGGACGGGCATGCAGAAGGAGGAGAAACAGCACCACGCCAGCCCCACGCACACCCGGACCGAACCTCCGTTTGACACTGACACCCACATTCTGAAGGGATACCTGCCCTAAAATTCACAGACCATTTTAAAGAATTAAATGTTAACTATTTTCAAGACAAGATGTTATTGGAACTAAGCTGACCAACTTCTTGGTAGCAACGCCCTCCCTAGAAGAAGGGATGGGGAGGTATGGGCAGGCGGTACCTTCTGCAACTCTCTTATCTATTCACCTTACACATATTTTCTGGGCTGGGCACAGGCAGTGCGATTAGAACTAAGGCAAGAAACAAATGTAAACAAATGCTTCTCTACTGGGACATCGGGCTGAGGTGCCCAGCAGTGCAGGGGGAGGATGCACGGGAGGAATGCATAGCTAGGGCTGGGGTGAGAGCAGCGAGGTCTCTACCGGTTGGTGACATTTGAGGTAAATCTACCAGCAGGGAAAGGGGGAGAGACCCAGGCAGAGGGCACAGCATGTACAAAGGCATGAGGCATGAAGGAGTGTCCCTTGGCAGGAGAGTCTGGAAATATTGCCAGGGGCAGGTTGCTCTTTGACACGGTGGGTTTGAGCTCACATTTTTCACTGTAGAGCCATTGTTGAGGTTGTGGGACTTCCTACACTAGGAGGGGCTTCCAGGGGACATTCCCTGGATGTGGGGCTTGGTGGTCTGACAGAGCCAGGAGTCAGCACCCCAGGGGCAGCCCTGAACTGCTGACAAATAGGTGTTGGTGGAAGACAAGCAGCCTCCACGCTGCTGAGGGAGATAGTCTGAGCCGCGACCCACACAGCCTCAGCAGGGTCTGGCCCTGTCCCCACGGTGACCGTAGCTCATAGCACCCCCTTCACCACGCTCCTAACCGCCTGCCTCAGAGCACCTTCCAAAGTACCGGCTCCCAGCAGGGTCACAGGCCCTGCTTTGGGGGATGGCAAAAGCCATCAAGACTCTCCGGTTTGGTTCTTTCTGGATCACAAAAGGGAATCACCCACTTTTTCTGGCAGATATATGCAAGTCTCCCCTTCACAAAGGCCGTGACCCCTCGAGGTCCCCACCTGCACCCCTAGTTCCCACACCCCAAACACCTGGGTGGTGAAGTTCAGCAGATACTGGAGGGCAGCCGTGACTCCTCTGTATGGAACATGGTATGGCAGTTCCTCGAAGAATAAAACCCAGAATGACCATGGGATCCAGCAGTTGCACTTCTGTGCACACACCCACAAGAATCTGTGAGCAGATACTGTACACCCAGGTTAAAATCAGTCTTATTCACAATAGCCAAAAGGTGGAAGCAACCCAAGTGACCATCAGCAGATGAATGGATAAACACAATATAGTACTTACATTCAACGGAATGTTAGTCAGCCTTGAAAAAGGAAGTTCTGACACAGGCTACACCAAGGGAGAACCTTGACAACATGATGCTAGGAGAAATAAGCCAATCACAAAAACAAATACTGTGTGATTCCACATAGATGACGTACTTAGAACATTCAAGCTCCTAGAGTCAGCAAGCAGAATGGTGGTTGCCAGAATCAAGAAGGGAGAAGGGGGAATGAGCGTTTAATAGGGACAGAGCTTCCGTTTGGGAAGATGAAATAGTTCTGGAGAAGGTGGTGGTGAGGGTTTTAAAACAATGTATTTAATGTTTTTAATGTCCCCGGAGTATATTCTTAAAAATGGTAAAAATGGTAAATTTTGTCACATCTATATTATTACAATTAAAAATAAATGAATCTGAGAATAATCAGCTTTATGTTCAAAGGTTACGTGTTATGTCTCACCTGGAGTTTCAGAAGTTTCATAGGAAGGGAGGCTTTTCGGTTTCTCAAAGCAGCCATACTTCTAGAAGCAGAGGCTCTGGGACCAGAGAGTGAGGGGCCTCGTGGGTCTCAGCCTCCCCAGCGCCATCTCCTCTGCAGCCTTGTACACACTGGTGGCTTGCTTTGCAGGCCTGCTTCTCCCTGGGTATGCAGTTCAGCTGTGTCTGCACTCGTACGAGCTCATGAGGCTTGGCTTAGTGAAGCCTCAGCATTTGAACAAAGGCTGCTGCAAAATAGTCTCCAGACTGAGAGGTAAAACCAGCTGCTGAAGGTGAAGGTCCATGTCTGCACACAGCCTGCTGACCCGGGGCTGGGCTTCTCCATACCCGGCACCTCTCCTTCCCTTGCTCACCAAACTCAGACCCTCGGACTTCTTCTTCGAGTTTCTCACACACTCCAAGCTCACTCCCACCTTGGGGCTGCTGCCCCTGCTCCTCCCAAGGGCTGGGACCCTCCCTCTAGGCTCTTAATGAGTCCAGCCTAGTGCCACTTCTGCAGAGAGGCCTCCGTGATAGCCCTTTCCATCATGTCATCAGGCACAAGGTAATAATGTAATGTCCCATTTGTTTCTTTGTTCATTAACGGTCTCTTCTACTGGAATTTGAACTCCCTAAAAGGTGGGGACCACTTCTTGTTCTTCCTGGGTTCCTAGTGCCCAGACCACAAGGAATTCAGGTAGAAGTTAGGGGGAAAAGAAACCAGAATTTTCATGAGGCAAAGACATCATTAAGCCCTGAACAGATTCTAGGCCTGGAAAGCAACCTAGGGTAGGAATGTCTCCTAATGGTGACTCTCCAGTGGGGAAGATTCGGTGGGCTGGGGAGACAGCACATATGGAGGAAGGGGGAAAGCCGGAGATTCCGTCTACTTAGAGCCTCTAATCCAGTCCTGGATGGAGGTGGGAGCATAGACTACGGAGCCAGACCACACTGGTTCAAATCCTCTGTGCCTCAGTCTCCTCATCTTTAAAATAGGGTCAGTAATAATCATCTCCACCTCACGGGGTCGGGGGGCGGTATTTAGGATGATTAAGCAAGATAATATAAGCATAGTCGCTCTATAAACGTTAGCTAGGGTTCTGAGTCTCTCTTGCAGACCTGCCTGCTCCCCTGACCGGGGCCCAGAGCAGCAGCAGCCTGGCTCTGCCCTACTTAGACTGGCGATGTCAGGCCTGCCACTGGAGCCAGCTCCCCAGGGAGGGCAGTGAACATGGGCTGATTTCCAGGAGCTAATGAATTCTTCAAACCCTCAGGGCTTGTTGGCACATTACCCCTTCAGCCCTCTGAAGGGTGCCCTGGTTTGGCCTCCCTCCTTTCTGGATGAGCAGGCCTAGAAAAAAGCCCTTTGAAAAGTGACTTGTCCAAGCCTGAAGCTGCGCTACATCACCAACAGTTCTGGGACACACGTAGGGACCTGCAGTCATCTGCGTGTCTGTGCTGAGCCACTGGGATTCCTGGCCCTGCTCTTCTGTCCCTTGCCTACCAACTCCTGCTTTGTCTTGCAGGAAGCCAGAGAAAGCTGTTAGGTACAACAGAGGTGAAGCTGCCCTGGGAAAAAGAGCCCACACCCGACTCAGCATTTTCTGCTCCACAAGATGGAAGCTCCAGGCAGGCAGGACTCCTTGAAGTGCACCTGCTGTGGATGCCCGGTGCCATGCTTGGTTTGCAACAGAGTAGGTGGCAAATCAGCATTCGTTGCATGAATGAATGGATGAATGGGTGGTGTCTGCCCCTTTTCTCTCTCCTGCTCTGCCCCACTCCCCCAGCCCCGCGGTGGGCGGAAGCAACCATGGGTCCAGACACCGACGTCTCTCCCGGTGGGATGGCCATGTGCGCACTGATGCTCCTGGCCCAGCATCCCTCAGAGTCAGCATGGTCAGCTAGGCAGAACAACTGGCCCCTCACCAGTTCAGAACCACCCTGACCAAGAACCCAGACCCCACTTCTTATGCCAATGGTCCTCAAAGTGTCTTGCCCAATTGTCTGTCCAATTGCCAGTCACCTCCCACCAACTGATGTGGCCTAAATGCACAACAAAGGGCTGGGAAGCCAAAAGCATAGTGGCTAACGAGGCACGTATTCCCTGCAGTTTCTCTGGCCGTGTAGTCCTCACTGGATGTAGAGCAGTGCCTGGCACATATGAAGTGCCAGCAGATTTATTATGACTAATATGCATTTTAAAGTATTGTTAAAAAAACAAAATTCCACACTGAACTTGAAGATTTAATTGGCTTTATGAAGCGATTCAAGAATTGGGTGGCATCCCATCCACCAAGCAGAGATGCTCCCAGAAGTTAAACAAAACGGAAGGCATTTATAGGCCAAGAAGATTAACAAAAGAAAAGATTGTTTCAGGCAAGGTCACCTTCCCTTACCGGGCAGAGCAGGTGGGGTCTTATCTTGCAGATTACCTTGGCTTGGAGAAGACCCATGTGACAGGTTAACTCATTGGTGCTGACCTCAAGTTCCTGACTGACTGTTAAAAGTCACATTCCTGGAATAAATTGAAACTATCATGACATCTTGGTTTGCAGGGCAATTGGCTCCATTAGGACTTGTACCTTTTTTTAACAGTATATAACCAGTGCCACTATAACCAGTGCCATCCTGCAGGGGAAAAAACTGGAGGCATGGAACCATCAGGTAGCCTGGTAGTTTGGCAACAGAGCTGTATGCTCCACTGCCTCCCAGAGGTTGGGACAAAGGGAAAGGTGGGAGGAGGAGGAGAGAGGAAAAGGGGCACTGTCCCCCAAGCCAGTCAAATAGTTACACATGTCATTGGTTAGTATTGAGTGCCCGTCAAGTCCCAAGCATTATTCAAAATATTTCAGAAACACAGGGTTGGGCCTCTTAGAATTGACATGTGCCAAAGGTGCTGATGGGCTTCAGGGCAGGCTGCCCCCAAACACGCTACTTTGGCATATTGATTATTTTTTATTTAAGTTACTTAATCAGCCTGTGCAAGGACACTCCAACCCTCCTCTCTTCCCCTGGAAGCAGGAAATAAATTTTCTCATGTGAAAGGTTACCTTCCTTTTACCAGGATAAAGAGAGAGATGTCCATATCGCCAGGCATAGGGAATTCAGGGCTGAGGAGGCTGGGTGAACAAATTTTATTTCCTCTCTAATTTCCTACTGTGGATAAAATTGCAATATTTCCAGAATCTCTCACCTGGTTTTAGGGCATCTACATATCAATAGGTGTTTCCAAGGGGTGGATAGAATTAGCCATCTACGTATCAAAAGGTAATTACACAGGCATACGAGGGTTTATCTGGACTGGAGAGGTTGGGTGGAGTCCTCTCTTCTGCTGCAGCCTGGTCTAGAGAGACGGGAACCACTGCTTGTAAGAAATAAACAGGTTTCTTAAACTTTATTTCTCCCTTTGACTGATTTTGATTTCAAAGGTATTTTGCCCTGAGACTTTCCCCCCAGAGTTACAACTCCCCAAGCCCAAACTGCTTTGTCTTGTCCATCCTTCACAAATTTGTGGTTTCCTTGTCAAAAGGTATAAAAAGCTGCCTGCTCTGGTCACTTCTTTGGGTCTCCTGTCTTTGGAGGTTCCCTATATGCAAAATTAAATTGCTTTTCTCCTGTTAATCTCTCTTTTATTAGGGGGTGGGAGTTGTCACAGCCAAGAACCTGGAAGGAAGGAGAAACTTACTTTCCTCCCCTATGGTCCATTTGTTCTCAGGAAAGATCAGGGAAATGTGGGGGCAGGGACAATGGAAAAACAGGTTTCCCAGGTGGACACAGAGGGGGAGACTCACTGGCAGCGGCTTATCCTTGGCAGGAGCAGAACAACACAGGCTTTCTCCAGGAAGAAGGCTGGGCTTGCAGAGCCCCTTTAGGACGAGCAGGAAACTCAGCTCCGGCTGGATCTGTTGAGAAACCAGGTGAGCGGCTGCCTGCTGGGAATGTGTCCTTTTTTCCCCCAGCCACACCACCTGCCTCTGTGGCTCTCAGCCTGGCCCAGCTTTACACTCCTGCAAAAGGGCCTCTCTCCTTACAATTCCCTGCAGCAGATATGCAACCCCAGCCCCTGAGAGTGGAGTGGAGGGGTGTTTTGCCAATAGCTCACAGCTTTGCTTAAAACAAGGATTAAAGAAGCAACTAGAGGTGTGACAGTCAAAGGAAAAAAGCAAGAAAAGATGACAATAGGTCATCAGGAAGCCCGAGGCCCTTCAAAATCTGAATTGACCACACAAGCCTCTCTGCCCCACCCAAGTCTGGGAGTGTTCACTTAGCCAGTCTGGAATTCAGCAGTGCCTATGTGGGGCTGTATATAACTGTCTGTACCTTTCCTCTGCTCTAGACCTAGTGTGTGGTACATATATATGTAGTCTGCCTTGCTTTTTTTCTTTCTACTTGTGGGTAAAATAGTAATATTTCCAGAATATCTCACCTGGCTTTAGTGTGTCTGCATATCAACAAGTGTTCCTCTGGGGTGGAGAAGAGTTCATTTCCGTAGCAATGGGTAATTACCTGGGCAACTGAGGGCTTATCTGAACCTGAGAGGTTAGGGGGAGGTCGTGCTTAATTCTGCTGGAGCAGGGAAGAAAAACGGCCCTGACCACAGTTTGTAAGCAATAGACAGGTTTTAAATTTTATTTCTCCCTTTGACTGATTTTGGTTTTAGAGATATTTTGCCCCAGGATTTTATCTCCCCGGAGTTATACTACTCAACTTTATTGTGATATAATTTATATACAATAAAATGTACCCATTTTATCTGTAACTTTTAATGAGTTTTGACAAATATATATGTCCTATCAGGAAACATGTGGAACATTTTCATCACCCCAGAGAAGTACCTCTAGCCTCTTTGTAGTCAGGCCCTTTCCTGTCTCCGCCCCAGGCAGCTACTCTTTGATCTACTCTCTTACTACAGGTTATTTTTGCCTTTTCTAGAATTTCATATAAATGGAATCATGTACTCCTTTAAGTCTAACTTCTTCGTTGTTTTGATGTTATTGTAAATAGAACTTTTAAAAGTTTCATACTCAAACTGTTTGCAACTAGCAAAAAATATTTTCTTTTGTATATTGACCGTGTCTCCTATGAGCTTACTAAATTCGCTAACAAGTTCTAGTAATTATATAGATTCCTTCAGATTTCCTAGTAAACTATTACATCATTTCTGATTAAAGACAGTTTTACTTTTTCCATTCTGATCTTTATGCCTTTTCTTTCTTTTTCTTGCCTTATTGCACTGTCTAGGACCTCTAGTTCCACATCAAATAAGTGGTAAGAGCAGACGTCTTGTTGCCAGTCTCAGGAGGGCGGGCAGTCTTTTCACCATCAAGTATGATGTTAACTGGAGATTTGCTGTATACACACTTAGCAGGTACAGGAATTCCTTCTTGGTCTCATTTTGCTGAGAGCTTTTCTCAGAAATGGATATTCAGTTTTATCAAATGCTTTTTCTGCATATTGACATGAACATCTGGGGTTTTTTCCTCCTTTATTCTGTTCATATGCTGAATTATATTGATTGATTTTTGAACATTAAACCAGCCTGTCATTCCTAAAATATCTCATTTGGTCATGATTTATTCTTTTTTATATACCACTGTATTTGAGTGCTAGTGTTTCACTTAAGAATTTTTATCCATTTTATTCCCTGCTGTACCCTCAGAGCCTAGAACATTGCCTTGAACACAGTAAATGCTCAATAAATGCTGTTGAATGAATGAATGAATCAGATAGCTTCCTTGAAGTGAGGGGTCAAAGGATGTGGGCATTTCAACATTTTAGAAAAATCTCCAGACTTTCCTCAGAAAATGTCCCATGTACTGACGTATGTGCCAGGGAATGAATGCTGGTTCCCCTCATTGCAATACAGCCACAGTTCCTCTGCTGAGGGATTGGAAAAGGAGAGAAAAGCACTCAATTCCCCCACGTAAATGGGGGTGGGGTGGGGGGTTGGCTGCACAGAAAAGCTAATTTCTGAGCTGTTCTCAGAGGAGATCCAGGAGTCAGGCCAGTGGAGGAAGGGGATATCCTACACAGCAGCATATACCAAGGCACAGACACATGAAGTTAGTTAACTGTTGTGACCTTGGGGAAATCTATCCTGCCTATCCATAAAAAAAAGCAAAAACAGCCAAACATTGTGAGTATCCAATGAGATAATATACATGGAAGACCTTGGAAAAACTCTAACATGAAGGCAGCATTACTATTCACCATGCAAGTGTCCAGCACAACCCTAGACTAACTGCTTGGGGGAAAGAAGCTGGAAGAATTTTCCTTTACCCTTGGAAGTTCTTCTAACTGGTCTAAGAATCAAACTGACATGAGCAGACTAACAGGAGAAAAAACCCCAAAGTTCAGTTACTTTTGTAGGGGGAATCCATAGACATAGGTTCCAAAGACAACCAGGGATAATGAGGTATATATATTATCCTGAATTCAGGGGAAGGGGGTAGGGGTCTGGAAATTCAGAGGAAAAGGGAAGCAATTCACAGGAATATGAAAAGAATAAATAGTTGGCAAATAATGGGATACCAGAGACATTTTAGTAGATTTAGCCACACTCCTCCCTGGCTACCACACCTAGTTCATGTTACAAAGTAGTTATCTATGGTGATAGCTGGTCTCCTGTAAATCCTTTTCCCATAGTCCCTGGGGGAAAGATCAAAATTTCTTTCTGAGTCTTTTGGGCCTTGATAGCTTTTAGCCCACATGTTACAATGGTACATCCTGGGGTGGCCTGTTTTTGGCCCCTACAGAGACAAGAGGCTGGGTCCCAGCCTCAGTCACCTCTGAGAAAGCAGCCAAGACAGAGGGCTGTCCTCCAAGGAAGGCATTTCCTCGGGTTTAGAATCCTGCCCAGATGGGAGCAGCTCCCTTCTGCTTAATGGGGTCGTGGGTTGGGTTATTTTCTCCTCCCTCCTACTTATACCTGGCATGTCATCTTCAGCTAGGAGCAGCACTGACCGCCTAAGCAACTAAAGCTAGGGATTTGGAAGATCCAGGAAGCATGAAGAAACTCACTGTTTTTTTCTTCCGGTTTGCCATCTTTCCCTCCTTCCTTCCTGTCTTCTTTCCCATATATGGAACACAGTGTTGCTTTCCCTCCTTCTAGGCCTGGGAGTAATCGTTTTAATATAGGGTACTCATTGCATGTGTATTTTGGATGACTGCTCCTAAGAGTTGTTAAAGAGTCCCAACAATCAAAAACCTAGTTCCTGTGTTTACACACTATTTTCCTTCTACTTAAGCTCTCTTTGTGTTTACACACAGGACATCTAGCAGCTTGGTCTGGTCAAGGTACAGCTTTTTGCAGCTCTGGGAGATTGAAAACAAAGGGTTGGTATATTCTGTACCCGGTGCCTCTGGAGGAGGGTGGGAGTCAGGGTTAACGGGTGAAAGGGTGGCCTGTAAAAGTAGGTAGATTTTTTGCAAAGATCAGGTGAGAGACGTGAAGACTTGAAATCAGCAGCAGCAATGAAACAAACAGAAGGAGATGGCTTTAGGAGGATTTCAGGAGGTAGAAGTGCCTGGTGAGCAGTGGGCTGCTGAGACAAAAAGAAGAGAGGATGGAATCCAAAGTAGCAGGAAAGTTTCTGGTGTTGGTGGCTGTGCAGATGGTGGCATCGCCACCAGGACAGGAAATGCAAAAAGCAGGGCAGGTTTGGGGGAGAGGAAGAATGGAATGCTGGAGCTTAAGTCGGGACATATATTCATCAATTTCTTGGGCGTTACTAGCGGCAGGTACCCTGTCAGGCTCAACCATGAACAAAAGAAACATGGATCCTGCCCTCCTGCAGCTTACACTTCAGGGGCAGAGGGACAGACTAAACAAATAAATCCACAAAGTAACTGCAGGAGCCTACAAGAGGAAATTTAGTAGTCACGTGACAAGAGTACACTGTGAGAGTGGCTAGGGAAGGCCGGCCTGCCAAGACCTGGAGGACAGATGCCAGGCAGAGGTTGACAGTGACTCAAGGCCTTGCAAGAGAGAAGCAGCTTGTATATAGAAGCTTGGACCTTAGAAGACTGGGTTGGAGATGATCAAAAAGGATAGACCAAAAAACGTTTTGCAGCATATAATGTTATTTATGAAAATAAGAATACACAAAACGATACTAGGGGAATCCTAGGGATTAAACTGTTTTGATCATGTTTTTTTCCCTAAGCCAGGTGCTGAGTAGAGTCGTGAGATGTAGTGTGTAACTTATGTATCTGTTTGTACATTATTACAAGGTAAAATAAAAACATACTAAAAGAAGGGGGAAATTCCAGGCCCAGGGGCTCGCCAGGATTGCCAATCCCAGGTTCTCTGCCTCCGAGCTAAGACCAGGAAACCTGCGCAGGTTCCCACTCTATGCACTGGGCCACGCCGGCCCCCCAAAAAGCCCTGCGCTCTGGGCTGTTTCCGCCCCGCCCACGTTCGCCCGCCGGCCAATGGGCACGAGGAATGGAGCCCACACCCCCGCGGCGCTCCGCCCGGGACGGACGCCGCCGCGTGGCGTCACGACCCGGCCCCCGCCACGTGACTGTCGCGCGCCGGGCTCCCGCTGGCTGCCGGGCTCGCGCCGCAGAGGGCGGTGAGGCGCCGGCGGCCACGCCGCGGAGGGCGCGGAACGGAGGGTCCCGCAGTAGGGGCGCGCGCATGGAGGCGGCGCTGGCGGCCTTCTGAGGGCAGCGGAGCCGGCCACGCAGCGCATCCTTCGAGCCGCTTCGCGCCCGTGGCACCCGGCGGCGACGGGCTGGCGCGGCCATGGCGACGAGCAGTCAGCAGAAGGAGAACACGCTGCTTCACCTCTTCGCCGGCGGGTGAGCGTCCCGGCCGGCCACCGGCCCTCCCGGAGCCGATGCGCCAGCCCCCGGAGGAGGAACTCCCGGTGTCGGGGCGGTGGGGAGGCCCCGGACGCGCGGGCTTTGTCCCGGCCGGGCCGCATCCCCGGAGGTGCTTTTACCGGCTCTGGGCCCGCTCCCACGCCCATCCCCCTCCCCGCGGCGTCTTCAGCTTTCTCTCCTTTTCAACAATTAGAGGCTGGTGTGACAGCTGTTACCGGGGGCGGTTCTGCCCGGCCGCTGTGGCCCGGTCCTGCCCGCGTCCTCCGTGCCGGCCGCCCTGGCCACCCCGCCCTCGCCGTCCCTCTGCCTGGATTCTCCAGGGCCTTTTCCCGAAAGCCCCAGTCCGTCTGTGCATGCTCGGAGTTGTGTATACTCGGGCGGCAGTCTGTGTTGGCCCGGGAGCTCCTCAGGGTAGCACAAGGGCGAGGTCACACGGGCTAGCGGGCTGCAGGTGCTGGACAGCAGCGGGGGCCCGGAACGTGCGGGCGACCCGGGATGCTGGCCAGCAAACCGTGGGAGGGCCAACGGCGGACCTCGGGGGAAAGAGGTCAGGAAGGTGTGTTGATATTCTTCTCACCTGCTGGTGGCCGCGTCCAGGGTAAGATGTGCTGTTTTGAGAGCTGGATTACTTTGATGAGCGTCTTGCGCGTGATATTTTGCAGTGGAGGCAACGCGTTTTTAGGGAGGGCTAGGAAGGGGGCTGACTTGTTTGTTTTTTGAGAAAATAGACAAAAATTTATTTTGAGTATTAGACATTTTTTTTTCTTTCAATAAAGCCGGTTGGCTTCGGGTCCTTTTGGAGTCTTCCATATGTTTGGAGTCTTGTTTAAGGACCTCACAGTCCTGGCACAGCAAATTTTAAGTGTAGGACATTCTGCATAAAACACAATTCTGGGTTATCACCCTCAAGTAATTTAGTTGCAGCTTGAACTGCTACCTAGATCTGTTCCTATGCAAACAATGGTTGAGAGCTGTGATGGAAGTGTTCCTTAGTTCTTTGTACTTTTTTTTTTTTTTTGGTATTAATGTACAAATTACATGAGCAACATTATGGTTACTAAACTCGCCCCATCATCAAGTCCCCACCAGATAGCCCATTACAGTCACTGGCCATCAGCGTAGTAAGATGCTATAGAACCATTACTTGTCTTCTCTGTGCTCTACTGCCTTCCCCGTGTCCCCGCTTTGTACTTCTTATTGTAGGTGATCACCAAGTTACTTCGTTTCTTCAACCAAAAAATCTTGGGTGTTCTTCAAAGATAGGAGTTTCTTATTCATCTCTCTGCCATTCTCTCCTTTCCCGTCATCTCTTTCTTGCTATTTCCTGAGAATAACATAAGGTGGGCTGCATTCCAAAGTTAGGACACTGTATTAATTTGTCATTCTGGGAAATTTTAAACAAGTTGGCCATATTATTAAAATAATTTCTCAAGCCAAAAATGGTGATTTTTTTTTTAGTGATTTAAGGCTCTATTATATTTATTTATTGTTTTTGGTGAGCTGGTCTTTTAAAAAAATTATTTGTATTGCAAACTGGGAGAGTTACCTGCTCTGGAGCAGCCTCCGGGAGGGCTTCTGTGTAATGGATGGCCCTGTCTTGATGAATCTCCCTACACGCCCTTCACAGTGCCCTCTGGCTGCCGATTCTCCTGCTGGAGCACTGCTTCTTACCGTGTGTTGGAGAACTGCCAGAGCCAGCACAGCTCACCCAGACTGATTAAAAGCTACAGTTTATTAGGGTAGTGCCTGAGGCCGAGTATTAACAGGTTAAGTTCCTTGCCTGGCAGTGGCCTGGGATTACTTGCAGATACCAAGAAAGAAAATAAATCTTTGAAAAGGTTGCTTTCAGAGTAAGTAATTGGATTTTGATTCATTCCCACTAGCCTAAAATACATTACTTCCATTGCTCCTAGGGAAGAATGTTAAAGGAGCTAAATATTGAGTGTGTGTCTTATATAATGAAAATCAGTCAGCCCAGTGGTCCCACCTGGTCCCACGGAGAATGTGCTACTTCATTCTAACTAGTTCCCTTAACAGCTGGCATCTTTCCAAAGAACTAAATTCACTTAATTTGAGACATCAGAGCCCCTGCTTTTTAAATCTGTTGCATTTCTCCTGTTTATTGACTAGCCATTGAAAACTACCATCAAACAAGTACAATGCTATTATTAATTAGTTAATGATACTGAATAAATATCTGTATCAGGTATAATAGGCTAATAAATAGTTTAAAACTAGTTTGGGATCCTGGAAAGTAAACACTATACCCAAAGCAACTCATAGTCTTTTAAATTTCTTTAATTTTTAAAAATAAGAGACAGTTTCTTGGGTTCTTTGAGAAGGTGAAAATACTCCTACATTAACCTGTAGTAGTCATCTTTTCAGTACAGTGGTACCCTTTAAGACAAGATAACTGGAGGAAAAACCACCCACCAACCAACACCTAAAAATAAACACTTCAGAGGAAGGTTCTCTTCATGTATATGTGTACCAAATGTTATTTCATAGTTAATTTGAAAGTTGGCTTATAATCTGTAAGTTGCTTTCTTCTTTGTAATATATATTGAGTTTTAATGGTGGCGTGGTAGTATAGAATTCTCTAAGTAGACCCCTAATGGTTCCTTACTGTTAAGTGGTTGTGTTGAAGGCAAACAGTTTCTAAACCCAGTGACACAGTTCAGAGAGGCTGTTGTAGTAATTTATGACAGGGCTGCTAACTTATTCTCGTTACGTAATTTCCAATCTCTCATTGATGATTTTCTGCCCACATAAATAACTGGGCATCCTTTTGTGTGCATGTGTAGTTCTCTGATGATTTCCCCTAGTATAAACCATTAGAAGTGCAGTTGCCAAGTCGAAACACATTTTTAATGTTTTTGATACCTACCAGCACATTTATAAACCCATCCTTTAGGGCAGGTTACTTCTGTGGGATCGAACCTCATTCATTTGATGTTGATTTTTAGTATCTTTGGGGATTCTGCTGTTTTCTGCTTTGTCTCCAAATCTGGGTAGTATTGTCAAAACAAAAAAGTACCTAGCCACATTTTATTGTTAGCAAAACCTATCATTCTTTTTCTACTGTTCAAACCATCTCATTAAGAGAAACACTGAAATCCTCTGAAGTGGCCCTTCTGTGTCTGGACCTTATGTCTGTTGAGAAAATCCCTTAAACTCTCCCTGTTGAAAGACTGGGGGATGCTGGTTGTCCATGCAGTGTTAGTGACGTCCTTCACCTGCTGAACTAGTGTACCTAGCTGGGTGGCAATTTAGGAGATGTACTCAGCACCTGAAATAGCTGGAG